TAAATCTCATATAAGGCCTATGAAATGCTTTGAACTGCTCCAAACAGGAATGTAATGCAAACACAAGGTAGTAAGGGTGTCATTGATTCTCCTGCTTTTGCAAATATAAATGACAAGTGATCATTAATAGAGATTAATTGAAGAGAAGAACTACCTAGCCAAGCTGTGAGCTACATCAGAATGAGACCATGACAGGCCAGGTGACAAATTCATAACAATAATGGTATAACATGGTATAATCATAGTATGACATGTAGTATATGTTTTCATCAGCTTTTTTGTTGCTAGGATGAAAAGACCTAACAAGAACAATTAGAGGAGTAAAAGTTTATTGAGGGCTCACAGTTTCAGAGCTCTCAGTCCATAGATGACTGACTCCATTCTTTGGGCTCTGAAGTGAGGCAGAACATCATGGTGGAAGAGCACGGTAGAGGAAAGAAGCTTGGGATGTGGCTTCAGGAAGCAGAGAGAGCACTCCACTTAACAAAATATATACTCTAGCTGGGCTCAGTGGAGCACACCTGTAATCTCAGCGGCTCGGGAGGCTGAGACAGGAGGATTGCAAGTTCAAAGCCAGCCTCAGCCTCAGTGAGGTGCTAAGCAACTCAGTGAGACCCTGTCTCTAAATAAAATACAAAATAGGACTGGGGGTGCAGCTCAGTGGTGGAGTGCCACTGAGTTCAATCCCTGGTACTCCCCCCACCCCACTCCCACCCCCCCAAAATAATGTATATATATACACACACTCTAAAGTCATGCCCACAGTTACCCACCTCCTCCAGCCACGCCCTACCTGCCTATAGTTACCACCCAACTAATCCTTTCAAGTGGATTAATGTACTGATTAGGTTAAGGCTCTCATGACAGTCATTTCACCTCTAAACTTTCTTGCATTGTCTTCCACATGAGCTTTTAGGAGTACCTCATATCTAATCATAACAATGTACATGTCAAATACGTTATAAAAATAATGTGATTTTCCTGGCGTAGTATTTTTTGTTTATCTTTGATAGAGTGTGCAAAAGCTAGGCCCTTAGGATTTATAATCTATATTAAATAATCTTCTGAACACCATGGTAGATAAACACCAACCAACCAGCCGGGCATGGTGGCACATACCTATAATCCCAGCAGCTCAGGAGGCTGAGGCAGGAGGATTGCGAGTTCAATGCCAGCCTCAACAAGTTAGCAAGGCCCTAAGCAACTCAGTGAGGCCTTGTCTCTAAATAAAATATAAAAACATGGGCTGGGGATGAGGCTCAGTGGTTAAGCGCCCAGGGTTCAATCCCTGGTATTTAAAAAAAAAAAATCAACTGAGCTGAGAAGTAGGGTGTATATGTAAAGATTGTGTGACACTGAGAAAATGACATCCCATGCTCGACTTCTTTATCCACTTTTCCAAGAAAGACCTGAGAAGTACTGTGTGTGACCCTGTATCACCTTTATAGATCCATTCTGCAAACAGCATTACCCAGTGATTGATAGCAGAAGTTCAGCAGCCAGATCTAGCAGGTTTGAACTCTGGCTGTACCCCTTATTACCTCTGTGTATTTGAGTGACTGCATGTAATTCAAAGCCTCAGTTTTGTCTCTGTGAAATGAGAACAAGGGTATTTCCATCATATCATTTTTAAGATTTTATACAACAGTACTGCATGTAAAACATATAGTGCTTGGCTCTGGCACGTGCTTGCTAAGTGTGGATTATTATTACAAGGCCAGTAAAAGAGGAGAAACTTCTTAACCAGAAAGATTACATGTATAACCGCCCCCTACAAAGTCATTTTCATTTCATTGCTTTGAAAGGCCACATGCAGATACACAGCTCTTTCAAGCATTTAGAAGTGTTACTTTTTTGGTGATTATCATACTGAAGGGAGTTGTCAACATATCCAGGAAGAAACATAAGGGGTCTGTAGCAGAACACCACATGGCTTATAGCAGGGTGGTGGCCAGAAGGCTCAGGTTGAAAGATACTACTCTTTTCCTCTGGTCTATTAGATTTTTGGCCTCTCGACTGTTGCTTGCCCTAAAATTGTTGGTGCTCAATCCACCTGTTCTTGAAAAGAAGAGGGGCCTTGGTTTTCCTAGTCCAGTATGGAGTATGAGCCCAGGTACCTGCAGAGAGTCCTGCATTACTGTTGTGGGATGTGCTGCTCCCAGCAAAGGGTACTCCATCTTTCCTCTAAGCTTTTGCTCTATGTATTGTTACCAAAACGATCCATTACCACTCTTTGATAGTCTGACTCAATCTTTAGTCCCTGCATCATCCTTGGGAGCAAGTAAGATGCAGTACAGGACCCTGGGTTGGAGCCCCAGTACTGAAAAAAAAAAAAAAAGAATCAACAAAGTAAGATGCAGAGTAGACTTCCCCTTAAGCAAGAGTCCTCTTGGGATACTGGCAATATCTAAAACATGTGCACCACAATTAACCTGAGCTAATTAGTTATCTTCCTACAGGTAGAAACAAACCCATTGGTTTCCCACATTATCTTCTTTATTTATTTGGGGGAAATTCAGAAATTTTTCAAATTAGATTATTTCCAAAGTTGTGTGTGTTATGAAATGTCAGAGGAAAGTCATCCAACCCCCTCCTTCTTTCCACGTATAGTTCCAATTTCCTGACGCCAATTTCTTCCTTCTAATTACAAGCACTCCAAGAAGAACTAGTTTTTGCAACTCAGCATGAGAACAAGTAACTCTTATTTCTTCAGGCTGAGTTGAATACAGGAGACTTCCTGAATCTGCCAGAATACAGCTGCCTAAGGTACAAGATAAGTCTTCCCTGTTCTATTATTTTTTATATGTTAGCACTGAGGTTCACGAGGGGCAATATATGTGATCAGAGCCCTGTGCTAGATATTTTTGAAGGAATTTTGCCCTGGTGATAAGTAATATGGAAAACGGACTTTTTTTTTTATTCTAAAGGGTAAGATTAAAAATATGGGTGTTTTGACTGTGTGTTAACATTAATTTTAAATCACTAGGGTGATATCGTTGATATAGTTGTCAAAGCCAAGTGTACCTTTTGTTGTCCTGCTGTTCATTCATGGGGGAAAACAGCGTATGCTCCTTTGGGAGGGTGTGAATGTCACATCTCAGGCGCAGTCCGAGCATCTTCTGCTGAGGTCAGCATTCAGAATTATCCCTGTACTCATTTTCTCATTTCCCTTACAGCAATATACTGAGTTTGCTGAATTATGTGAATTCAGAGTTAGTGAGCCCAGGACACAATCATGCTATTTATTTTAGAAGCAAAACTTCCCTTTCTTCTGGGGTTCACCATGGACCTCCCTCTCTTCCTTGAGCATTTCATGCCTTCCCAGCTTCTAAAATTGGTTCCTAATGAAGGTCGTATCCATGCAAAACAAAAATAATTCTGTTTTCATTGTTCTTATATCATTAAAATTTCGTAAGTTAGGTTTTAATTTCCTGAATATAAGTTCTTTTGCTAATGCAACCTTTTAAAATAATCTAGAGCCAATCTTATCCCCTTTGAAAATGGCAGTACTCTCCATTTATCTTAAATCTGAGAGCATAACAAAAAGGCATCAGATCAATAGCTCTTTTTTTTTCTTCATATTCAAACCACCAAATAAGAGCCTTAGCTATTTGTTCATCAAAATGTGTGCTGATGCTTTTTAATAGCTCATCATGTACCAGGCACTACATTAAGTAATTGACATTGCTTTAACTGATTCAATCAGTACAATATAGTAAAGTAGATTTAGTATCCATATTCGAAGTGAGGAAATTAAGACTATGAGAGGTTAATTTCACATAGAAAATGAAGCAGCCAGAATCTGGTCATCTGGCCCCCTCCAAATCACATAATGTCATAGGTGTGATGGGGGATTTAAAAAAAAAAAAAAAAAAAGCAGTATAAAGTGAAGTACTGTGTAGTCTTCACCGTAAAAATTGGCTGCAATTAAGACAAGTTTTCTTGCAGTCTGGGAGATCCCAGTATCCATTCATGAGCACATGAGACAGACAGAGAGTAGTTTCTTCCTCTTTTCCAAATTTTCTGTGGCTCATTCTTGCAAAGGAAGGTGGTACTTGAGAAAAAAAAAAAATGACCATGCAGGCTGCATGATAATTACCATAATTCTTAGTGAGGTCAGAGATTGTCACATCTCAGAGTTCAAGACTGAATTGAATAAGTATCCTGAGGAGAATTGCATGGATGCATTGAATCAAATGCCTTCTAGAAAATACATATTCCTTGAAAGAGAACAAAAATTCTGTGTGTATGTACTGGATTTATTTTCTGTTTGTTTATGACTGGCATTGGGTTTTCCAGCGAGCCTGTCTCCTGTTCACTTGTTGTCTTGTGCTCTCCAATGCTAACCGCCATAAGAACTAGGTATCCAGGACTTAGCGTAACAGCTACATATTATAAATTAAGTGCACCCTCATAGTTGTCTGTACTGAGGAGCCCAACTGCAGATTCTGTACCGAAGTCTCTTCCTTGAACAACAGTGAAAATGGGAACTGGATTTCAGTTGAGGTTTTCCATATTCCGTGTGTCTATACAAAGAAGGCTGAACATCGCTAAGTTCTTTAGTAAAATTGCAAATCAGCTGCCTAATTATGATTGAACAAGGCATGTTCCAGAGACCTTCCATTTTGACTTTAGCTTACTCTCAATTTCCGGTAATGATGCAGACTTTTACACCAAGTACGACAGTGCTATGATGGGCAGCCATTTTGTTGAGGAAACTGGAAACCCTCACCCTTTTAAACACTGAGCTACAGACTTCGGTCCTGTTATTTCTTCCATTTAAGGTTACATTTTCTGCCTCCCCCAGACAAATGTCACTTCTCCATCTTGAGAACAAAGACAGCATTTGGCCTTTGGTTATCCCAAACCCAAATCTTTGCCCCTTTGTTTTTAGTACTTTGCCATTTTGATTTTGCTTTTTTAATTTGCTTGTGACTCTCTGCTTCCCCCATCTTTTTCTTTTTTTTTGGTACAATGATTCTTACCTTGTCTTTCCCCAGTCCGTTTCTGACCTGGAGAGACGTACAGCATGTTATTGTCAGGACTTCCCGTGCGGGACATTTGAACGCTAATGACTGGAAAACCAATGCTGCTGGTTTTAAGGGTGAGAACTTCTTTCATATTCTGTCACAGGCAAAATATTTTTTATTTTTCCCCCATTTTAAATGGAGAGCAGGAAAATACAGCTCCTCAAAAGAAATTTTAAATTTTGTGCTCACACAGAGCTTGATCTTTTAGTAAATAAAAGGCAGCTTGATGTTTTTTAAAATTAAAACTACACATATAATAAGGCAGACTTCCTTGTCTTCCCATATCATAGAGGTCAGGTTTTTAGATCGACCAACTCCCAAGTATAGTCGGCCTATGGGACTCCTAATTAGCTTACTTGTGCTGTCATTGATGATCTGAGTTGTATTTTAACAATGTATTTTAAAATTCTTTGCCTTCTATAGTGATTACTTCCTCTTAAGTAATAATGGATAGATGTTGTTCACTGTAGTGTAACACTGTTAGTCCATGCATTCTGTAAATTTTGTTTTTGTTTTTGTTTTTTTTGTAACTTCCACAAACAGAACAACAGGCATACTTCTAAGAGATGTTATTTTGTATAGACCAAAAGTTCTCATGAAGCTTTGTATCGTTCAGTCCTTATGCACCTATGCACAGGTATAACAAGCACTGAATATTTTCCCCATGGCTAATGCATTTTTTATATTATATTTCCTTCCAATGGTCTTATTAATAGCATTCATTTTATTTATTGTCAATGATAATACATGTTGTAATAAAAGAAAAATCACACAGATGTTCTAAGGTTTAGTATAGTTACTCAAGTTGAAGATGACTTAAACTTTAATCAACTAAGTTTTAACTAGATTACTTTTTTATCACACATGATTTTAAACTTACTCCCAATAATTTTAATATTATAACATAGTCCCCTGTGCATAAGAACAATGTGCCATACCATAGGAAATATCTACTTAAATAAGATTCTGTTCTTCGAACTGTAGGTAATAATCTGAATAATCCTGAGCAAGACATTTAATTTCTAAAGGTCCTAACTGCCCAAATTTATGCATTTTGGAAACTTAATAATATTGTCTACATGTGATATCTTAAATATGCTCTTAATATATCCATATGGAATTATGCCTAATATATGCAAATAGTATGTTGGAATACGTATTTAAAAATTATTTATAAATAGCTTATAATAGACTCGTGCTTAGCTAGAACCTATCAATGACAGGTAACCAATGCACGTAAATAGTACTTTAAAGTTTTCACCAAAAGCTTTGTTCCATTTTTTAAAAAAAAGACTATCCCTCTGATTTTGAGTATTAGCAAACACCTCTTCCATGCTTATAAAGGGCATAATGCAGCAATATTCAATGAATTTTTTAATCTTAAAGAGTTGTCAGTACCTGGTGGGATCCTGTTCTCTATAGCCCCAGTCAAGTCACCTGATCCCTACCTTATAACATCATCAGGGCACCATCAAAATTATTTGAAATTTATTGTTCTAGAAAACCCAGAATATATCTTCCATCTTGGTTAGCTTCCACATGCGCCCAACTACTGCTGTATAAATCCACGAGGATTGGAGCAAGGAACTGACGCAGAACCTTGGCTGGTTCTAAGGCTGGAGTGAACTTCTTAGCAGAAGGTTCACAAACTAAGTACGTTGACCTCCATGAAGCTGAGGAATCAACTTTAACCCAAATAAACGTCTTAGTTTTACTTATTCCTTTTTGGCAACTTAAAAGGAGCAAATGGTTCTAATAAAACACACAGCTCTTTTGAAAACCCCTGTTGGTTTTGGAGAGGGGGAAACAGAGGATTTAGACTAAATCACCAGACCCAAACCTGAATCTGAAGGGGGCTGTACGCTGCTTCTGGCAAGGAGGAAATAGTATTTTACTATTGCACGTGGCAATATTTAGTATAATATTTCACTCTACTCTTAGATGGCTGCCAAGAGTAACAATTAAAGTTCGCTTTTTCATAGATGAATTACTCTGACTGGTCTGGGCTCCCAGTGGAATTGTTTTGTAATTTTGTTGATGGCAAGCCCCATATTTCATCTAAACATGATCATAATGAGATGAATTTTTTAAAGAGTTATTTTCTTCTGTACTCTAAACATTTCCATCCCCTCCCAAGTGTCTCACAAATAAAAGCGATTACGGCAGAGGCTAGCGAAAGAAACAACGCACTTTGGGGAAGCAGAGAATACAGGTCACCAGGACCGGAGGAAAAAAGCAGGCTGACTTTTTATGAAATGAGAACTGCAGGAACAAAAAGACCTAATGTTTGGAAGAGGTTCCTGCAAGGAGAGCTCAGTAAGACCTCGTCCTTTCAATTAAGTCAGCTGACTTTTGCAGGCCTTGCTGAGCAGAAATCTATGCCATACATTTCTCCCTAGACAGGAGAATACGAAAGGAGCCTGCCACCAGAAGCCTGTGCCCACAGGTGCTCTCCCCCAGTCCCACCCTACCCAGATTTAACACTGAGTGAAATGTATGCATGATGAATTCAGAAACACCTGTGCTTCTCTGAGCTTGCTTTTGTGACCTAATGATGAGCATTTGATTTAGAGTATGTAAAAAGGGTGGGGGGACTGATCTCAGTGATGGAGATGTTAGTATCCAACAGAATTTCTTTCTCATCTGGTAAAACAGAAGCCACTTAGAGTAGCTACCAATTCAGTTTGGGTTTTGTAAATCAATAGATATTATCACTGACAAAGAAGACCTACACCCTAAATAGCAGCCCCTGCCAAATCTACTTTACAAAACCTCCCTGTATGTCTTCAGACAGACTGGGATGTCATACCTCCCAGGCAAACAGTGAGGTTAGACAGTGGATGAACTAGACAGCTGGGGGCCCTCCTAAAGGCTTGATCCAGACCACCCATTTTGTGTTGTGGACCTAGAAGGTGGAAGGCATTCCCTGGTCCTGAAGTAGCTGTGGGCTTCCTGCTGACAGGTTCTTATGCAGGCCCAGAGGTGGCTTTGAAACAACAAAGAAAGGGGCTGTCTGCTGATTATCTCTGTGTTTCTCAGAGAGGAGAGTGGGATTACCCTGGAGTTTCAGGAGATAAACCAGGAACCCAGAACTTTCTCTAGTCCTGTGTTCTCATAGTAGCACTTTGTAAAGGATCCAATAGTGAGATTAGCTCTCAGTAAGGGAAACCCCAAAGATGCAAGCCACTATCAACATTTTTATGCTGATGGCACCTTAATTTTTGAAAATCTTAATAGAACTAAGATTATTCTGTCCTGCTGATTCTTGAATAATAATAATAATCCCTTATAAATGTCTTTTATAGTAAGTTTTTCAGAATAAACATCATCCAATGAATACACATTATGAAAACTGACTAAATGTCGATTTGCCTTGTTCATTTGTGAATAATGCTCATTAAATTTCAAACTACACCTTTTGATTTTATAACTCCTCCAGAGAAAGTTTTTTGAAAAATAAATGGGACAAATATTATACATCAAGGAAAGAATCTACTTGAAATTGTAAGTGTGAATAGGAAATTGCCTTAGATCAGATGAATGGGTTTGGTATTTTGCCAGTGGAGAAATGAAATCTAAATTCTAGTATTTTGCTACTGACCAACATGTGTAATGCCAGGAGATGACTCTAGCATTAAGCTCTTTAGGATTTTGTCAGGATTATCGCTTTTTCTCCCTTAATCCTTTCCCATTTCTTTTATGACAAGGTTCTTCTGTTTTGTTTTGCTTTCTCTTCTTTTTAATTCTCCCTCCACGCTCCTTAAAATGTACCAAATAGCTATAGAAGTAGGGAGGGCTTTTTTCATCTGGGTGGTTTTCTTCCCAGAATTTAATTGATGCTGTCTCTTCACTTTTTAATATTTCCTAGCAACTTCAGTGTGCCAACCCAACTCATGTTGAAGTGAACCCAGGAAGTGGGCCAAAACATCGGGGGCTCCATGGTGTTGCCTAGTCAGATCTGCTCTGGCATCATTCACATACACAGACAGACATTTTTGTAACACCTATTATTATTTTCCTGAGGTCTAATCCCCAACAGTCATTTTAGAGAAAAGCATCAATGATCCTTCTCTCATCTTCTAAAATTAAACCCAACCTCAGCAACAGAAGGCATCTAAGACAGAGAATACCCATTTAGTGTCTTATGTGTACATCCAGCAGCTCTGTTCAGGCACACAGGATTGTGGCCCCAGAGGGCCATCCAAAGACTTTCATTTGGGCGTTCTTGATAGTCTGTCACTCATTTCAGTTTAGGAGGAAGTTAGTTAGCTCTTGGGGGAGAGCTATTCCCTTCTACTGCTTTTATATAAGTAAACTACCAACCCACCGACCCTCTCTCCCCCATGTTCCTAGGCCAAGCAGCCTGGTTCTGACTCCTGACCTTTGGTTCGAGTATGCATTTATGATCATGATGGAATGCATGGACGTCAGTGCTCTAGCTTTATATGGAATTATTTGTATTTGGATTGTATGACTGTATACAGTTAAACTCTCTTAAATCTAGGAACAGGAATAGACGTCAGATAATAAATTAGGACCTTCTGTCATCTTTACTAGGCGAAAGATGGAAAAAAATGTCATTGAAAAATCAAAAATGACAACTCAGTGAGCGAGGGTACCACGCCTTCCATTTCACTGCCCTCCCAGACTATGTAAGTCTCTTTTTTTCTTCCAGCATGTTGCTGAAACCTCCCATCCCCACTGACTCCTTCTTCCACCACAACTAAACTACTAGATTTTTTTTTTTTAATTTCTAACTGGTTACCCACCATGGGGAAAATGATTGACAGTCTAACGTGACCTCTTAGCCTGTGAGACCTTAACTTTTAATAACCTTTATTGCTTTCAATTGCCATCCATTTATTTCCACGGGCAGGGCTGGTAATTTTAAGATGTTCCAATATATTTTGAGTACCTACCCATTTTGCTTTCACTTTGTAACACTTATTAAAAGGAATTAGAAATGCTGGAACCATTAAGCATGCCAAACGAGAGGTTTTGAATTGTTGTTTTCTTTGTTTTTCACGTGTATGAAGTGATTTCTAATGCTCTTGCCATGGGAAGGGGTAAAGTT